GAGACAGTCAAGGCCTACTGCCAAAGACCCAGCAAAGTGTCATGCATCAACTATCGATACGAGCAGTTGCCACCAAGACGCTTTCTTCCTGCGGATGGGCTTCATCCAAGTTTTATGGGTGTCGCGTTGATTGCCGGTTCTCTCAAGAGTGCACTCGGTCGCGGAGACCTCGAAGCTACCATGGGGTAGTCAACTCAACCAGTAGCTCCCGTCAATATCCGTCCATCACAACAAGACACCCACGACAAGAACTCTGCATATCAACATACTCCAGGAGCCCCGCACCCACCCAACATCACAGACGAGTTCCCAACGATCAGCGAAACTGTGAATCCCGCGAGCCACAAGCACCCCCTCACCATAATCAACAGCGCACCACTACTAGGGGGGAAGTCTGCGGGACAGCCAACAGGCGTCCCTTCATTGCGGATGTCGAGACCAAAAGCACTACGTGACAGCACCACTACACCACTCCTCAAAAGAAAGCCTGCCGAACTACAAGGCTGCGTCCCTCTATTGAGGACCCCGGGACCGGAACTCCCTACCAACACGTTCGCCGAAAGCCCAATGCCATAATCGTTCCTACAACGAGGAAGGCCTGCCAGACATAACTACAATCTGGGGACTTCATCGGTGCCATCCCCGCACTCAAAAGAAGATTGACCTTTCAAATGTAAGTCCAGCTCATCGCTTCCCAGTTGCAATGCTACCTTCCTTAAAGTATGAAAAATTGCTGACAAACGAATTAGACACGAAATGCATAAATCCACATTGCAAGTGTACGTTTGTGCTAGAATAGCCCCCAAGGGTATGACACTCTTCCTCACACCAGTCGCTACAAACCTAAATGAACACGACCAAATAACATGAAAAAATGTCCTCCTTGAGGCATCTCTTAAATTAACAGAAATCACTCTCAATCACAGTGATAAGCAGGTCTCTTAAATTAACAGAAATCACTCTCAATCACAGTGATAAGCAGATAAAAAAACTGGTCGCTATAACCAAACCATTCTCCGCCACAACACTTTATCGAACGAAAAAATCACCCGGTTAACAGAATTTGAACAGAATAAATACCAAGCCATCATGACCACAAAAATTCATAAACTCAAAAGAGACCATGTGCCCAACCCCGCGTTTCCTGAGATAGTTCCTTATCACTACAACACCCCCACCCAGAAAACCACTAACGGTACAAACGAGCACCCATTTATGAACACACCCTGTGACACTGTGATTGTAAACCTATCGGACACGAGTTTGTCACCTGATGAAGAAAAACTGTTATCTAAAAAACTAAGCTTCTGCACAACCACAAAATTTTTCGATCAATTGCACTTGCTCCGAGACCTCGACAACTTCGCTAGAAGCTTCAGGTTGCGCGAATATTTCTTGAACAGGCCTTCTACCCACGAAACAATTCACCGTGGTAAAACAAATGATTGGACACCGAACAGTAATCGAGACAAGTGCCTGACCTTTATATCACCGAAGTACGGAAAGATATAGTACACGAATACCACAGACAGAAAGGAAAACAAGAAAACTTGACAAAATCTGAAAAAATGAGCATGAGGAATCTGGCATCTAGGACAGGCATAATAAAACCGGCTGAGAAAGGACGAGCAATTGTAGTCCTTAATACAACCAACTACTTGAAAGAAGCATACTGCCAGCTAGACGACTCAAAATTTCACGAACGCCTCCCAGGTGATCCCACAGACGAATACAAACGTATCGTATCAAAAGAACTAAAGAAGCTGTTGTATGCAGAAAAGATAACCAACACTGACCACAAACTAATGTGAGCAGCATACCCTCATCCAGGTCGTTTCTACATCCTGCCAAAAATTCATAAACTACTATCAGGCATTGGTACAATAACTGAACACATATCAGGGTACGTGGACAAACTAATAAGCGACATTTCATGCACCCTCGCGTCGTACATAAAAGACGCGACACATTTTCTTCGAGACATTGCAGGTCTGCGTGTGCCGAAAAACTAGTACCTGGTTACTTTTGACGTCTCTTCATTGTATACAAACATTCCTCACGATAACGGCATAGCTGCATTACAAAACATGCACACAGACTATAGACAATCTAACACCCCATATTTCTCTGCCATCACAACTTTGACGAGAATGGTCCTCGGTTAAATTTATTCGAATTTAACCAAGAGTATTTTCGACAAATCAGCGGGACCGCTATGGGCACCAAAATGGCACCCAATTATGCCAACATATTTATGGGAAAGCTAGAATTAGAATTTCTTGAACAAAGTTCCTTGAAACCACTGTTATACAGAAGATGCATATAAGACATTTTTCGTATTTGAATCCACAGCGAGGATGAACTTCTCAGCTTTATCGACACTTACAACGCCGTACATTTGAACATGCACTTCACACAAACCTACTCGCAAGCAACCGTAAATTTTCTTGATGTTACCATTACGATAGAAGAATACAAGCTTTCTACAACGCGATATCGCAAACCAACGGATCGACAACAATACCTCCATTACCAAAGCGATCACCTGTGCCACTGTAAAAACAGTATTCCAAACAGCCAGGCTCACCGGTTTAAGCGAATCTGCTCAAGATACGCTGATTTTGACACGGGCTCACAGAGGCTAAAACTTATGCTCGATAAACAAAATTACCCCCCATATGTAATTGATGACACCGTTCAAAAAGCGAGAAAACTGAAGCGTGATGACTTAATTATGAAGGGACCAGCGCAAGAAGACCCGCAACGAACAAATCTTTGCTTAACTTACAGCACAAACTTCCCCAATGTAAACAAAATCCTTAAACGTCATTACAACATTCTGGAACATAGTGAACGTCTGAAACGTGCATTCCCATCCACTCCTGGCATCGTTTACTGACGACCACGCAGCCTCAAAGACACACTTGTCCACTCTCAAAATAATACCTCACCCCCTAATAATTCATGCCGACCTTGGTTAAAGTCACAATGTCTTGTATGTAAAGCGATGCGAGAAACACACAAAGCAACAAGCACACAATTAAATTTTTCGATTACCATACGAGAAAACCTAACATGCTATTCCTCTAACGTGGTATACCTACTCGAATGAAACGTGTACAGTATGCAGTACATCAAACAAATAGAAACACCATTTAAAATTCGTTTCAATAATCACAGAGCCCATGCGAAACGAGCCCCAAGTCTACCTCTATCAAAACATCTCAATCTTCCCGACCATGCATTCGACAAACTATCAATAACACTCTTAGAGAAGGGATTTAAATCTAACCAAGAACGTGAACAACGAGAGTCATACCTTATCCACCGATTCAACACCCTCGATAAATGAGAATCTGGGTACACTTGCAGCAATTAAAGCATTAGAAAACAATAGCATCAATAATGAAAATAATAACCGAGTTCACGCCACTGCAGCTGCGAATGGCACTGGACAACTCAAATTATTTCTAAGTGTAACTACTCTTGCTAAGTACACCTGTCGCCTGTTTCTGTTTTTACCTTACTATCCAATCCATTGTGCCAAGCATGACATGCCCAACAGCAACCCTGTGCACAATCGAGAGGCCCCTTCTGCATGCGTAATCCAGAAGCGGGCAACAATTGAGATTGCACCCGCTTGCCAGCCTCTGTGGCAATACGCAGTGCCCTCTTTTCAACAACGAGATGTCGAAGAGGCGCTGAGTAGTTAAAGGCTTAAACTTCTTAAAAAAGCTCTTTTCCCCCAGACCGAACCGCCAGAGCCATGCGGTGCCATCTGGTCGGTAACAATACATTAGTGAAAGGAAGGATATGCACACTGCAGACATCCTAAAGGTGAAAAGAAGAAAAGCGGGAGGGGGAAGGAGAAGAAAGAGTGAAAGGGGGCGCCAGGGAAAGTCCACCTCATATTCTCACCTTTTTTTTTTTTTTTCTTGGGGGCGCCCGGGGGAGTCAACCTTACATTCTCACTTTTTTTTTTCTCCTGTTTCTTTTTTCCTCTAATTTAAGATTATATAAAGCTGAGCACCAACAAACTGTACCCTCAATCCTGAAGAAGGCCAGACTCTGGCTGAAACGTCGAAATAAACCACGTTGTGACTGCTCATGGAGGATCTACTTGACTATATATACATATACATATATAGGAAGAGAAGAGACACAACTTGGCAATTGTTTTAACTTCATTTACAACAGTTTCAACCGGTTGAAACCGATGGAAATAAAATTAAGACAACCACTAAGTTGTGTCTCCTTTCTTCCCATGTACGTTTGGCCCATTGGAAAAACTTCTTCAATATATATATATATATATAATGAGATCTAACAGACAATAACACCAAGTATAGGGGAATTTATTGGACTATATTGTAATTCAAAATGTAAAGAAAGAAAAGTCTGTGAAAAGATAACTTGCCCTGGGCAGGAACAAACCAGCGACCTTCGAACCTGCGGAATTAGAACGTCGCAGGTTCAGTTCCTGCCCACGGCAAGTTATCTTTTCACCCACTTTTCTTTTTTAACGTTTTGCATTACTATTCGGTTCAACAGCTTCCCCCCTACTTTTCTTGGCATTATTGTCTATCAGATCTCATTATGACTGTGTCAAAACGTAGAAAAACGAGGCCTCAAGCACACAATTCTTTCCCTCACATATATAAATATAAAGTTTTTATGCCACCTAAGGCAATCACGTGATTGCTGAGAGTGTAAGGGGGAGAGGCTATAGCTGTAATGGCGCAACTGTTCCTATGCAATGCTCTGTCATCACCTGATTGCTGAGAGAGTGTGAGAAGGAGAGGTCACAGCTTGCACCGTTCCACATATCTTAGCTTTAAAATTTATGTGCAAAAGGCATGCCTTTTGTGGGTTTTTCATTGAATCAGTCGTGTCTAGGCGCTATGTTGGTGCGGTCGCGCGTGGCAAGTATGGGTCAAGCACTCATAGCGAGAATGCCTAAGCAGTGGTGCACTTGCGGAGAACGCCAATGAGAGCTAAGACAGGAGTGCATTTGTAAGCTTCACTGGCCATCCCAGCTTTACAGAGTAGTGGCTCCAGCTTTCATTGTTTATGTGCAAAGCACTTATACAAGTACAAAAATGCAGTAACATAGTACAGCACAGGCAAGATAAAATCAATAGTAGTGTAGTATATATTGATGATGGCAAAAAACAATAGAAGCATCTGAACTTGAAAAACATTAATAGTTAAATTCAACTGTAGTCTTGGATCTTGTTTTCGAGTCAAATGATTGATGTTTGTGGAGATGAATATTTTTCAAAAATAAAAAATAGTTGACAAATGTGTTCCACAAGTAACATGGCTGCAACAAGATAAAAAGAAGATGCTGAAGTAAATTTACAAATCCTCAGCAGGCAAGTTGAAAAACGCAAGTGCTTCAGTAATGCAGAAGACTACGTTACTAGGACAGACATAATTGTGTAGAGGACTATGTTACTCAGGCAGACATAATTTACCAACTAGGTAGCAACACTTCCAATTCTGGAAAGAGTTCCATGCACACAAAGAATCTGCTCATTTGTATCTTATATTCTCTCTTTTTGGTATTAACAACAGAATGATCAAAACTATGGTGTAAACACAATTTCATGTTATCTGCAGTTGGCAGCACAATACCGGATGTAAAATTGTTCAATGTTTAAGTGGTATATTTTTATTTCTGACAGTATAAATTGTATTCTACTTGTGGCCAGAGACAACTGTTTGCAAACCTCCATGTCCCAACAACTAAGCAGCAACTTGTACTAGTATACACTTTAAATAACAAAAAGAAAATAAAACCAGAGCAGCATGAATGGTTATGACTGTCTGAACCGAATACGACCACTTAGTTCGAACACCATGAGTCACTTTTCGATGACCTGGAAAAACACGCATCATGACGCCGATGAATGTTTAAAAAAACTAAGTTGATGCGGAAGATAATGTGAAGGATGCTAGTTAAACTTTGTCAGGTGGTCCTGATGCGCCAGGGCCATCGCTTGAAATTTTCTCCGTAGACACGTCCCCGTTTTCATGCCTGCCCTGCCGCATGAGTTCATCTCGAAGCCTGCCCGTAAAGATAAAGAGAAAACGGCAAGAACATTGTACAATCAAAACACTGGTGCAGTCACCAAGACCAAATAAGTAACAGTCATCTAGCTATTGTTAGCGTGAAACTAGAAACAAAGTCTATACAGATTTATCAAAAGAATGTTTCCCAGTTGAAGTTCTGGGATTCGAAGCCAGGAAGAATTCCATGCCGGAGCAGGCAGTTGCTCTGCCACCTGAGTTTTCGAGGAGGCTGGTTACCGCGTGAGGAATTTCAAGCACAGGGACACTGAATAAAGTTAAAGAGCTGGTGAAATTATGCTTGGTCAATTGGTGAAAACTTAGAACAGATGCCTACCAAAGCAAAAGCATATTTACTGACATTTCAGGCCCCCCGCAAGTGATAATATTGCTATGGTATGAGCCAGATTGTGGTACGAGAGGGGCAAGACGAAGAGGAAGACCAAGTTGCCTGGTGCGGCATGTGAACTCCATCTTTGCTTGCCAATGCCTGACCTAGCCGTTTCTCATCCCGTAAATAAACACATTCAACCTTAATTCAAACGTAATAGTTTTTGGTGGAGATGCTGGGTGACTGACCAAGCACCACAGTTCTGCAAATGCCCGATCTATGATGAAGTCATCGCCTCACTGGACTGCCACCACTACCACTACCGGCTGAGATGTCTCTCGGCGAAAACGGTACCAAGATTCCCACAGCTGCAGACCGTGTATCAATCCCAGCAGCACTGTCAGTACCCACTTCAGCCATAGCTGCTCCCTAGCAGAGTCAGCACCTGATAGAGCCTAGCACGTCCGGTGGCAAATCTGGCAAGGATGTCGATGACTGGCTCAAACACTGTAAACAGGTGAGCGAATACTATCAATGGGACGAGGTGAGCCAGCTGTCAAACGTACCGTAATTACTCGAATCTAATGCGCACCTTTTTTCCGGTTAAGCGAGTTCATAAATCGCATGCGCGTTAGAATCGAGTACGAACAAAAAAAGTACGGTCAATCTATTGCCATCGGCAAATCCAAAATGGCCGCCCCCTACGTGCGTCAGCATGGCGCGTCGGCCATTTCTGCCTATGCGTTTCCCATGTGCGACACTTCGTACGTGTGCTGAGGAGTTCGTCATCTAGTAGTGCATTAGCATCGACGGCGTGGAAGGGCTGACTCCAAAAACTCAAGTGCACCTCGATGCCGCCTTTAAAAGAAAAGTCATCGCGTGTGCAGAAACAGACGGAAATCGGGCCGCATCGCGGTCGTTCGGAGTTCCCGAAACGTGCGTGCGGGACCGGCGGAAACAAAAGCAGAAGATTGTCGACAGCAAAGCTTCACGCAAAGGCTTCAGTGGACCACAGCAGGGTCGGTTTCCGCAAATTAATGAGCTGCTCGGCGAGTATGTGCTTGGGCAGCGAGCGGCACAGCGGCCCGTGACGACAGAACTGCTCCAAGTGCGGGCTATGCAATTAGTCTTAGAAAAAGGTCTCATGCGGAGCCAGTTTAAAGCGAGCAGGTGCTGGCTAACTACTTTATGAAGAGGAAAGGCTTTTCCCTCCAAAGGGGAACATGCATATGCGAAAAAAAGTTCTGCGGAGGAGTACGATGAAAAGCTTCACAGTTTTCAGAGGTTCGTCCTAAACTTGCGGCGCAACAACGGCTACCTGCTTGGGCAAATCGGGAATGCCGATCAGACGCCTCTTTACTTCGACATGCCTGGCCCCACAACCGTCGAGAAGAAGGGGGCGAAGCAAGTTCGCGTGCAGACATCGGTCCACGGTAAAACAACAGTGACGGCAATGCTCTGTTACACGTCAGATGGGCACAAGCTTCGCCCGTACCTCATATTTAAATGGAAGACGCTCCCGAAAGGAGTCGTTTTTTCGAGTGGTGTGATCGTGCGGGCCAGCTAGAAAAGTGGGTGCGCGTTACAATCGAGGGCGCGGTAGAATCGAGTAAATACGGTAGTCCTTTCCTTGACGAACACGGCGCTTGTGTAGTGTGAAAACCACACAAGCGAAATAAGGGAGTGTTTCGGGGACTCCATAGTGAAGAGAAAGCAAGCGGAACAAACGCTGCTGCAAAGAGCCCAAATCCCCGGGAAGACATATATGACATACATTGAGGCTATATTGGAGCTCTGCAAGACCATCGACCTTGCCATGTCAGAGGAGGACAACGTTGACCACCTATTAAAAGTAATTGCAGAGGATGTATACCACTTCCCCACTGGCAGGAGAGCCTTACCAGAGTAGCCGACGTCATTCGCTACTGCCGCACATTCGAGACCCTGAAGATGCGACGCATTACTCCAGAGTTCGGCTGCCTGCCGAATGTGACAATTGTTGCAAGTGTTGACGAATATACATTATTTGATCTCGCGTCGACCATCTGCGCAATAGTTCGTGAAAAGCTCACCCGACACGTTAGCCCTATTTCCCCTCAACATGCTCGTACGAAGCTATGCCAACGCCACTTCCCTAATCACGTGTGCATTGCTGCTGCAAGCGTCGATGACTACAACTACCGGTCGGGCTGGCACACCTTCGAGGCCAAAATGCAATCCCTACCACCAAGAGTCAAGGTACAAACACCGCTTCAGTTATCTCCGAAAGCTGGTCACCACCTATCAGCATCCGAATGACTATGCATTTGTGCCAACACGTCGGAGAAATGCGTTCCAGCAGTACAGTGCGTACCGCCAGTCTCCCGTGTGTTACCGTTGTGGTATCAGCGAACATACAGCTCATTTTTGTCATTGGCAGTAAGAGAAATTCCAATATGATTTGACATCAGCGCCTCCTTGAGCTGGCAACGGTCGCAACAACGATCCTTGGCGCGGCTATTCTGGGAGCACCTTACGACAAGAGAATTGATGTAACAGCTCTCCCGCTTCTGACCGTAGCTTGACGCCTCCCCTTGTATTGCCGGGATGATGGCTGTCACCACTGCCACCACTGGGAAACTAGCCGGCCCGACCAATGGAAGCGAGGTCGCACAAAAGGATTAGCCTCAGATGCCTCCATCAGTTACGTTATTCAAGAACAAGAACTATGTATTGATAGATGTTTAGCGTGCTAGTGCTTTAGTCGACACAGGTGCGACAGTGTCAGTCATGAGCCTTTTCTTCAAAAATCACCTTGCTCACAAAGTCTTGCTTTCTTGGGGCGAATCAGCAAGATTTCGTGGCGTTGGTGGTGAAATACCTCATCCTCTGAGAATTTGTGCTGTTAACGTCATGTTGGCCGGGGAAGTGCTCCCAAGAGTTTTTGGTACTGAAGCATTGCACCCATGATGTCATTCTCGACATGGACTTTCTCCAAGATTCTTGCGCTTTTGTCAAGTACAGAATCAGTAAATTTTCTGTCAGCGGTGAAAGTGTTCCTGCTCTTGTTGATGAGCTACAGGTCAAGGATGGCACTTTGATTATTTACGATGGACCGACAGTGCCACCGTGGTCAATCAGGTCAGTTGCGGTATTAGCTTCCATCCCTGCCGCATTCGCCTTTGATGCTGTCGTTGAACCTGCCACAGCTGAGTGTGCTAAGAAAGGCATATTAGTGCCTTGTGTTGTATAGGTCGACAAGGGAGCAACCTTGCTGTGGTCACTTAACTGTTCTCCAATGCCGGTTGTACTTTGTCGAGAAATGAAGCTTGGCCTGCTCAACGATGATGCAAAAAACTTTATGTATGCCATCAACAATGACGCAGGGGACAAATCGTCAGTTGCTTAGGAGCGCAGTAGCTCCAACTAGTCGAGGATTCTAAGCATGATTAGCAAGTTTTTACAGTCACACGAGCGGCATACATTACTCCATTGGTTAGGACAACGTGCTTCTGTGTTTGACTTTGGTCAAGAGGAGAAGACAATATCTCAACTGTGTTCTCATGCTTGGCACGGAATCGATACAAGCACTGCTCATCTTATCCAGCGAAAACCATATGTGGGGTTTTAACGTCCCAAAACCACCATATGATTATGAGAGACGCCGTAGTGGAGGGCTCTGGAAATTTTGACCACCTGGGGTTCTTTAACGTGTGCCCAAATCTGAGCACACGGGCCTACAACGTTTCCGCCTCCATCGGAAACGCAGCCGCCGCAGTATCCAGCGAAAACCTTACTCAGTGTCATTGTTGGAGCGCAAAGTTATCGTCGAACAGGTTCAGGATGTGCTGAAAAAGGGTGTTATCGATGAGTCCTGTAGGCCGTGGGCAGTACCAGTCATCTTGGTGAAAACGAAAGACGGCTCCTGAAGGTTTTACGTTGACTTCAGATGACTCAATGCTGCCCCCAAAAAACATGTGAGGAGCTTTTCCCCAATCGGGAAAGTAATGGCTAGCAAAGCTTGGTATTGGTGTGCTTGATGAACTGCTATTCTTTCTTTATTTTATGTAATGGTATCCATTTACTGCTACTCATCTTTCGAAGTCTCAAAGATTGAGTGCAACAAAGATATCGGATCGAATGACTTTCAATAGGATCTACAAGGTTGTCACAGTTAATGCAATGCACTATAGACGATGCCGTTCACACTACAACCAGAGTCCTTTAATACCGTTCTGGTCACAAAACTTCTCCGTCACTCTATGGGAGAGCTTGATATGCTGCCAAGAGCGACCGCTACGTGGCGCAAGCTGGGATAGGGGGGCCACCGCTCCGTTGCGCCCGGCCATTGCCCGGTGGAAAGCATTGGCAGCGACGGCAGCTCGAAGGCGTTGTGTAAAGGCAGTTCGCGGTATTCCTTCTAACAAAGTTTCTGCATCAGCGTCACGAGAACTTCAAGGGCCTGTTCTCCGCGTTCAAGGTCGACGGCATGAAAATCCGAAGGAGCAATGCCTAAGACGTGCTGTGTGATGGGCTGCAGCACCGGATACAGAAGGAACAAGGAAAAGGCGTTGCTCTTCTGTTTCCCCAGTAGCACCGAACTTCGGGAGAAATGTAGATTACATTTCTTCACGCGCGAAAAAAACAAAGCCTCGCGGGCAACCATGCGTGGTTCATGCCAAGCAAGT